AGGGTTCGGCGGGGCAGTCGCGGCTGCCGCCGCGGCCATCGCCGGGAGGCGGCGGCTTCGCGGAGTTAGCCGCGCGCACTGAAACCCGTGGGGCGAACCACGAGCTCCGCCACAATGATAATACGATAGGGGCGCATTTCCCTGGAAACAAAGTAAGCTTGAGCCAAACGGCGTCGGTAGAAACTGCCATCTGGAAGCAAACGAATACACACTACAGCCATGCATCTGCTCACGCAGTCGGAGCGCTATAGACTGACAAATCCTCTTCCTCCTCCTCCTCCGCCTCCTCCTCCTCCTCCTCCTCCTCCACCGCCTCCGCTTGTTCCTTATCGTCCTCCTTTGATGTTGGACTGACTTCAAATCTGAAACAGTGCGCGGCGACCTTTGCGTAGCCGACAGGCATTATCCTTCGAAGGTCCTCCAATACCCTCCCCTCCATCCGCCTGGAGATTATTCGTCTGTCGGTTTGGCTCGTCCTGCTCTCCTCAAACGGATTCCGCCTCTTATCTGTTAGCAGCCCACCGGATATGTCGCGCTTGAACTCACTTTTGCCTCACTCATATGTCCACTCTGGGCGCCGGGAGACGTATCACTCCCCACGTAAGCACCGCTGCCTAGCGCACTCGAGGAATTGAGAAAAACATGTCGTCAGAGTTCGGCACTCTCTGGCTCGTGTTCCAGATGAGCTCGCCGCCGCATTCTCCCTCAAAGTCGGCCCCAGATCTGCATGACTCCAGGGCAGATCCCGCCGCGGCAACCAGCCAAGGAGCCACCCTGCCAAAAAATGTCGTCGTCCTTATCGCTCTAGTCGTCATGCGTATCCTGGAGAAGGAATTACACAGGAAGGTGCAACATTGCTTTCACAGCGGGGCTAAGCGAACGCTCGACTGACCAATACTTAGGCAAAACGATGATGGCAACCGTCCTGACTCTGCCAAAGCTTCTGACCCAATCGCAGCCTTGAACTCTAGCACGTTATCGTCCTCCTCGCAAGCAGCCTGTGCCACAAGTCTGTCAGCCCGCGACGGCCGCTACCGCCCCTTGATTTGAAACCTGACCGTCGCCGCTAAGGCCCTTGCCTTGTCCTCGGACTTCGAGTCAAGAGAGCTGAGTCTCTGCGACTTGAGCAAGTTATACAACATCGTGGCAGCAACTGGCACGTTATCGTCCTCCTCCTCCTGCTCCTCCTCCTCCTCCTCCTCCTCCTCCTCATCCGCTCTTTGAAAACTCCCGGTCCCTCTGCCCCTCCGCGATCTGCCTCCGCTTCAGCTCCTCCTGCCGGCGGTGCGCAAAAAGAGGCAGGGCGTAGAGAACGAAAAGACGACGACGACGATAACGACGACGACGATGACGACGACGACCACGACGACGACCACGACCACCACGATGACGACAACCACGACAAGGACCAAGACCAAGACCGACGACGCCCACCACCAGCGCCACAAACAAAAAATGGCATGAACATGAACGTTTTGAGCTCCGTGCGGGCTTTCTTGGATCGGCGCTGGAGCCCTCTCCTCGGCGCGGGGAGCGCGACAGGAGCGGCGCCAGAGGCGCCGCCAGGGGGGCCAAGCGCAGATCCAAGAAAGCCGCGCAGAGCTTGGAAAGCTTATGCTCATGTGTTCTTTTCTCTTCGGGGGGGGAGGGGGGGGGGGGGCCTTCTGAAAAGACGCCCTGCCCTGGAGAAGGCCCCATGCCTTCTGAAAGCCTGCCTTCGTTGGAGGCCGCCCCCCGCGCCCCCGCCCACAGACCACCGACGATCTGACCTCTTCAGTCCGCGGGCCCCAGAGCTGTAGACTGTAGACCCCTTCTCGGGGCGGCTGATTCGAAGGGGCCCAGGGACACACAAGTAAATATACCCAGTTCCCAGGATGCACCATCTTTTTCCATACCTTCTGGACTTTCGTCTTCCCCTCCACTTCTCCTATTTTCCACAGGTTCCTTAGAATTGATGCTTATTTGTGTCTGTGTGTCTCTCCTGGATGATCTGCGTCGTGGATCAATGCTTGGCTGTCCAAAGACCGGAGAGCGGGAGGCCCGAGACCTACGCGAAGAGAAAACGCCAGACGAACCCGTTCAAAACCAATCCTCAGACTCCTTCCATGGTGCAGTCGGACCTTGGCCAGAAGAACATCCCTCAAGAACAAGAGGCCTTCCAAACAGACAGAATATCCAAGAGTGCCCTCCCCAGGATGCACAAGAGCATCCAACATGCACGAAGAACGCTGGGGTACCCTCCCCCAACCGACCTCGTCCCAGCCCTGTGCGACAAGGGCTAGGTCGGGCATGTCCTCCTACAGGCGGATTTTGGGTGAAAAAAAGAGTCAAGATTTGTTCAAACATAGTCAAAACATCAAAAATCGTCCCCATACTATGTTCCGACTATTTGGGAATATTCTTCCTGTGGAGTACTGTAGAAGGACAAGCCCGACTTAGTCCTAGCCTGTCCGACAAGGGCCCATCCTGCCCGGACTCCCGAGCCGCGCCCACCATGTCTGGCAGCCTCTGGAGACGCCCAGAGGCCCCTAGCTTCTGGGCGTTGCCAGAGGTCTGCGGACATGCCTGCAGACGCCGTGGAGAAAGAAGACAACGCCATGTGTCTTTTTTTGTGTTTTGTTTTGTTTTGTGTGTTTTTCTTTGTTTTTTTTTTGTGTGTGCTTTTGTTTGTGCTTTTTGTTTTTGTTTTTAATATTAATAATAATAATAGCAAAAAAAAAATCTGGCGCTCCGCGCGGACTTCTTGGACCCGCTCCGGACCCCCCCTCCACGGCGCGCGGAGCGCGCCGAGGGCAGCGCCAGAGGCGCCGCCGGGGGGGGGGGCCCAGCGCGGATCCAAGAATAAAGAAGCACTGGGACACACAAATAAAACAATTCCCCATCTTTTCCCGTATTTTTTTGGTTTCTGTCTCCCCCCTCACTTCCCATATTTTCCTACCTTTTTTCTGGGGAATCGACGATTCATTTTGTCTGTATGTTTTTTCCCCTCCCGAAAGAAATCCGCGCGAAGCGTCAAAAGTTTATGTTTACTGCAGTTCCTGGCCCTGCCCCGTTGCGGGATGGCCCTGGGGCCCCCGAGGCCGAGGCGAAGGGAGAGGCCGCGGGGACCGAAGAACAAATACCCTCGGAGATCTCTAGAGGGCAGAAAATCCACCCCGACAATAACCACCCCGACACGCGAGGCCTTTAGTAAGCGCGCCCAAAGAAGGAATCGAACAGGGCAGGGCTTGTTAGTAAACGCCCAGGGCCGTTTAATAAACGCCAATTGTCCGGTCCGGGTGGATTTTCCTCCCTCGAATCTCGGAGCCCGGAGCTCCGAAGAGGCGAGAAACCACAACTGGAGGAATCGCAACTGGAACCCCAGTCAAGGCGAAGCGAAGACGAGGATTTTCGGGTGAGGATAAGCCGAACATCTCTGAGACCTGGCGGCTCTGGAGGATGTCTCGGGCGCCGTGGCCTTCTCGAAGCGCTCCGGAACGCTCTGAGAGCGTTCCGGAAAGCTCTGGAACGGATTTATCCTCGTCCTCGCTCCGCCCGACTAGACCCCGTGCTTCTGCTGCATGTGTCGAACAGGATCGATCTGCGATGGCCCCAGGGCGCGAAACTGGGCGAAGACGCCCAGTGCAGATTCACCTGCAACGCCCAGATCTCAGGGAAGGTCTCCGCTCCGCACTGGGGTCCGCCAGGATTGAAGCCGTCGGAGGTCTCCCAGACATACGATGCCCCGATGTTGTCCCCTCGAAGCTCCGACCCCTTCCCGGGGCCCAGCGTGAGCCCCCGGAGGCCGAAGGCTGACAAAAACCGCCAGTCGTGATATTCTTGTCACGAAGCGAGCACGTCTGGGCTGCAGGCCTCCAGAAGCGACGTGCCCCCACTCTGCTAAGGGGCAGCACTGGGGAGGGGCCCACCCAGGGGGGAGGCATATGGACCTGGAATCGGCGATATACTTCGCCGAGAGATCGGCGAGGGGCCCCAGCAGCGAAGATCCGCACGCTCCTGGGCGGGGTGGGCCTGTCGGGCCCCTTGGCTGCGAGGAGTTCGCGCGATGGGGGCCGATGTATTCCACCCTGAGCCTACAGTGAAAACATATATTAAGGACGGGCGGTAAGGACGCAAGACCCTTGGAGGCCGAAATCGGGATTTGTTGGGCGGCGGGCGACCGAAACCCCAATGGAAACGGCAAAGGACGGGCCGCAGAAGCAAGGACACAGGGGTACCCTAGAAAAGGCGCGCGTCCTTACTATGCGCGTTGACTGTATCCCTTGACAGTTTTCGGGTCGTAGTCTAAGCCTCCAGCGGCCGTTCGGGACGATCTGGGCACCCCTGGAACGCTCTCCGCGAAGCGCAGCAGCTGGAAACTGGCGAAAACGTTTGAAAATCTCGAAGCTCAAACCTCGGGGTCACGAATCGATCCCTGGACCTCTCCTGGGGTGCGCTCTGGCCAGAACCTCGGGGCAGATCCCGACGTAGCCACGAGGGCGCCCCAGGACGACCAGGCACCTCCAGAGAGCGAGCCCCGATCCTCGATCCTCAAGCCCCTGAGCCTGTCCTCCTACAGGCGGATTTTGGGCCAAAAATGAAAGGATACCAACAAACATGTTCAAACATAAACACAACAAAAATGATAAACTCGCCCAGATTTTTTTGTCTTTTCGGATATTCCTCCTGTAGAGAAACATGCCCGACTGCAGCCTACAGCCACGCCCCCTTGATCCACGTTCTGCGATCGCCGGATCCTCTCGAGCCCGAGGCGGTCCTTATTTCAGCGTCTTCGCTGTCCCTCCCCCCGAGCGTTGCCCCCGACTTCTGCGCGGCGGCCGTCCTCGCCCACGGCGCAGCAGCAGAGCCCGCGGGGCACGAGGCGCCAGGGCAGCAGGGTGTCGTGGCCGTCGCTGTCCGGGACGGTTGCCCAGGTCATCGGGGCGGTGTCCTCCTCCTCGTCGTCCTCTTTCGGGGGGGAGAGAAACGCCCACCTCTCGTGCTCCTCTGGGGCTTTTTTTTTGAGGATCCCATCTCCCTGCGGGGCAGCGCGGCGGACGCACGAGCCGCCCTCCCGCGCGCCACCCGCGCGCGCCGGCAGGTCGGGCCGCTCACGGCATCCTCGCCGGCAGCCCGCTCGCTCGCCAGCCGTTGTAGCCGTCGTCCAGCTCCAGCACGCTGGTGTACCCTGCGCCCTCGAGCACCTGCGCTGCTGCCTTCGAGCGCACCCCAGCGGCACAGCCCACGATGAGCTTCTGGCCCTTATCGGGGAACGTGGACTCCACCTGCGGCAGCCACTCCTCCCACGGCACGACGTGCGAGGTGACCGTGTGCAGGCCGGCGCCGTACTCTGGGAGCTCGGGGACGCCCACGGCCTGCTGCTCGTCGGGGCGGCGCACGTCGAGGTAGGCCCACTCGCCCGTCTCGAGGAGCCCAGCAGCCTCTGGTGACTGGATGCTCCTGTAGCGGCGCGCCGAGGCGGCCGCCGCGTCGGGGGCGCGGGCGCTGGGGGGCGCGCGGCCCCGGGGGGCGCCCGCGAAGGCGGCCTGGCGCGCGAGCGCCGCCAGCAGCAGCGCCAGCGCCAGGAGCGCCGCCGCGCCCCCGCGGCGCGCCATGGGGGCCGACGAGGAAAGGGGGGCTTGGCTCGCGCGAGCGGGGGGGGGGGGAAAGGTGCGCCGCCTTGAACCAAAATGGCTACGGACGTGCTCCTCTAGGGCCCCGTGGGGGGGCACTTTAGGGCACAGGAGGTACACCTTTCTTCACCCCCCAGTATCGCTCTCCCCATTACGCCACGCCCGATCCTCGGGGCTTCCCAGGGATCCGGGCGTTGCAGTGTTTCCACCCCAGGAGTTTTCGCCTAGTTTCAGTCTCCAGAGGCATCACAGGTCAACCCAGCTCGAAGAATGGCGCAGGAAGATGCGGTCTCGAGCTCCGGGGCATGATTTGTGGCGATGTTGCAACTTGTTCCCAAAACCTCCTGTGTGTTGGGTCCTTATTTTGAATCCGCAGCGCCGCGCTCGACCTTCTCCTCCTCCTCCTCCTCCTTCTTCTCCTCCTCCGTCCTCTTCCTCGTCCTCCCATGTCGGCACACCCCTCGCACGTTTCCTGTCCCCGCGGGAGCTCTGTCAAGGGCCCCAGGTGAGTGCGTTCGCATGGCGCCGCCGCGCCCATTCGGCACACTCCTCGCACGTTTCCTGTCCCCGCAGGGAGTTCTGCTTGGGGTCCCACTGGTTGAGTTGGCATGGTGCTGCCGCGCACATTTCGGCACACTCTTCGCGCGTTTCCTGCCCCAGCAGGGAGCTCCACCTAGGGCCCCAATGGGTGCGTTCGCAAGGCGCCGCCGCGCCTCTTTTGGCACGCCCCTCTCCCGCGTTCACTGCCCCCCTGGGAGATAAACGTAGGGCACCAGCGGTTGCGTCTGCATGGCGCCGCCACCCCAATTCGGCACACCTCTCGTGCGTGTCCTGCGCCCCATTGGGAGCCACACCTACGCGGCGCTGATTCGCGCACGATAGATTCCCTTACAAGGTCCTTCGTCCTCCTCTCTTTGCCATCGTCCTCCTGCTCCGTGGCGCGTGCATCGTTGACTTCAATTTGCGATTCGGGTCGCGAGAGTGCGTGCGGGAATGGAGAACTTTGGCTTTGGTCCGATGTTATTGGCGAAGCGTTCCAGGGTGCTGCTGACCCCTCAATGTGCTCTCATGTGCTGAGTGATCCCGTTTGTAGTCGCCTCGCGTTGAGAAGAGGGTTTGGTTCTTCGCCAGGCTCATGTTCACAACGTCGGATCTCTGGGTTAGCCCGATGGGCAACGTCGGAGGTCGGGGTTGTCGCCCCAGAGGGCGCTCGACCCTGATCAAGGTCGCACGCCCTCCTGGGGCCTACTTACCCTGCGGCCCCAAGGGGGGAGTCGCAGAAAACAGCCCGCCGCACACACACACACACACACACACACACACACATACACACACACACACGCACGCACGCACGCACGCACGCACGCACGCACGCACGCACGCACGCACGCACGCACGCACGCACGCACGCACGCACGCACACACACAGTCACACACACACGCGCGCACACACACAAAGTCCGCACGGGCGACAAGGTAGACGGCCTCCCCTGAGATCCAGCGCCGCGATCGCGGACAGTGAGGTCCCCGAGGCCCAGAGACTGGGCAACGACGCCCAGGGCACAACAAAAAAACATGCAGACAAATCATAAACACAAAAAGTTGGGACTCGCGGGCCTCTGAGCGTTAAGTGCCAGCCCGCGCGGGGACGAGACCTGGCACATGGCACGGCGGCGCTGGCAACCGGCGCAGCCTTGTGCGAGCATGGCCCCAGGTGGTCTCGGGCTCCGCAGCGGGAAGCCACTGGCCACCGAAGTCCTCAGACATCCGCCAGCAGTGTGATTTGCTTCTATCCGCGGCACCGGAGGTCTCGACACAAGTTCAATCCTGCGGAGGTGTGGGCCAACTTGCCCCGTATGGCAGGCTCGAGTCGTCACGCCATTGACACCCGATGCATCGTTCCACCTTGCACGATCGGCGGTGTTTCGATCCCCGGATCGCTCTGTGCTGGCCGATTCTGGGCCACTGGCGGCGTTCAACCTTGAACGCCCGCGCTGGAGCCCAAGCTGGAGCCCAAGCATCCACTTCAGAGAAACTTCCCCCCGCCCGCCCCGCCACCCCTGCCAACCGTGCCTGCCGAAGCAAATTTGATGGTATTGGCATGATTAATATTACGGTTAGTAACAGTGTTAGTATTACCATTATTGTATGTTCAATGCTCGTGGTTAGTAGTAATAGGGCTATTATCAGTAGTAGGGGTATTATTATTCTCATGAGCCTTACGAGTATATGATTGCTAGTATTAGAATTCTTATTACTCGTATCATTATTACTATTACTTTGGCGTTTACTTCTACGATTGGTATGGTTATTATGTTTAACACTGCTGATCTCTATATACATATATATATATATAGATCTAGGTATACAAATATCTCTATATATATATATATATATATATATATACGTAGCCCCGCAAGCACTCCCTCACCACAGCTCGCCAACATGCGCCGACCGCCTGGCATCGATGGGCCTTCAAATGCTGCAGCCAAGTGCTATTGTAACAGAAGTCCCCACGAAACTCGTTGGGCCGAGAAGGAGGAACGAGGGGAGGGGGAGGAGGCACAGGAGGAGGAGAAGGAGGAGGAGGAGGGGACAGGGCGCAGCGCGAAGTCCCTTGCGGCCAAAGCGGCCACTTCAATAAAAACATCACTTGAATAAAACACCTGCCGAAACAGACTCGAGACCTGGCCCTGACGATCCGGCTCTTCGGGGCTTGCCCGAGGGAGCTTCGGGACGCCCAGGCACGGCCCAAGCACGCCAGGGGACGAGAGACACCGACCAGCCCACGGAGGCGCCAGGCCAGTGACACTTGCCCCCGCCCGAGGGACAGTGACCACCCACATACAGGCAAGGTCACTATCCCCCTCTGACTACCTACCAGACCACCCCAACCCAACCCGAAGACCCGAATTTCGGGTTGGGGGTGGTAAGGGTTCCACACGTGTTTTTTCGATGTTCCCCGATCCCCCCCCCACTGGAAATCGAGGGTAAATCTGAGCCTTCGGGTTGGGTTGGGGTGGTTTGGTGGGTGGTGACCCTCTACCGCCGCGTCGACCCGACGCGGACGTGTCGTAACCTGAGAGCGGTCTCGGCACTCTGGCGGCCGCCTCCAGCGGCGCACCTGGGGCGCTCAACGCCGTGGAGGGAGGTCCTGCCACGACGGCGAGGTGCAGCAGAGGTCATGGGGCTAAGCTTACCCTAGGCATTCCCCTAGGGCCTACCCCTGGGCCTAGTCTAGGCCTACCCCTGGGGCCTACCCCTAGGCTTATCGTAGACCTACCCCCAGGGCCAATCCCTAGGTTTAGCCTAGGCCCACCTCTAGTTTCGGGCCCCACCGCGGGGCCACGAACAACTTCAGGGGGCTTCGATCAGGAGAGCCGTCAGGGGGCCAGGGCCGCTTGCTCCAGCCCGCTGTCATCATGGCCAGTGGTAGCGTTGGCGCTGGCTTCTGTCACCGCGTGGACCCTTCAATGTTGAGCGATCTCCACCGTCACGGATGCCAAGGCTGTCGACGTCGAGGGGCGTCAGTCTTCAACGCCGCGCCGAGACGGCGTGAACCCACCATGCCATCAAGGGTAACAGGGCCCCAACACAGCCAGATTGAGCCCCCAGAGGCCAAAAGAGGCAACCCAAATCGGCAGACTCTTGGCAATTCTGGTGTTATCTTTGGGCTCAAAGGGGCCTGTCTGGTTGCACCAGGGCCCCGAGGGTGGTCACAGCCAGCCACGGTCCTCGGGCTCTGGCTCGGCGTCGTCGCTGCCGCCGAAGAGCATGGCACCCTTCCCGCAGAAGCCGCCCTTCCCGAAGCTGCCGCCGCCCTTTGACCCCGCCTGCTTAGGCCTCTCGGGCTTCACCCGCCGGATGGCCTTGTTGCCGTCCGCGATGTCGCACTGCACCCCCATGATGCTTACCGTGGTGTTGGGCACGTACTCAAACTTCACGCGCTGGTCGTTGATCTGAGGCGCGGAGGGGTCGGCCGAAGATTTGTAGTAGCACGCCAGCCCCGTGGCGGGGTCGTGAGTCTGCGAATGCGAGGCCCCGAAAGGTTATAATCCAACTGAGCGACCGGGCAACCGGCCAACCAGCCGACACCCCCCCAACAGACCAACCAGCCAACCTGCCCGCTGGTACGCCGGCCAATCGGCCAGCCACCCAGCCGATCAGCGGGCCCGTGACCCCCAAACCTCCAACGTCCTGATTCTGGGGGGTCCAAAGGCCGTGTTGACAGACCCGGCGGTGACCTCGAAATCCGCAGAGACCTCACCGCAGGGTCCGCCACCACACGGACTGGGGACCTCGGAGGCCCCAGCCGCCCGAGGCATCCTCGGAGGACGGCCCGAGTCCCAGAACCGTGCGATGACCCCGGCGACTCCCCACCGACTCACCGCATGGAGTTGTCCCACCACACCGTTTGGGGGCCCCCGATGTCGGCGGTGGACAAACTTCCCTTTAGTAAACCTCCCCTTAGTGAAAACGGCCTGGGACCGAAACCGACGGACCTGGACCCGCAAAAATGACGGCCGCGACGCCCTCTCGCGAACCGAAAACGGCCAATTCACTAATCGACGTGTCAGGGTAGGAGGTCTATCCACCTCCGACGGTGATCTTTCGCGACGCGACCACCCACCGAGCCCACCCTCACTCCGGGAACCCGCCCGCCCCCCTGGGGGCTGCCAGGCCGAGAGGCTGAGGCTGCTGCTCCACGCGGCAGTGCCCCTTGCGAAGGTGCCGGGAGGTGTACAGATTGTGGCTCCTCGCCCCAAGGTCGGCAAGGTCAAGAGAGGCTAAGTCCATACCGAGTAAGTCCATACGAAAGGCTCGGTCTGCGTCTGGGCTTCTTCCGTCTGGGCTTAGCCTCTCCTGATAGCACCCAAACGGAGACCATACAGAGTACTCTGTCTCCGTCTGGACTTACTCTGGATGGATTTAGCCTCTCCTGAGAAAGGTTGCTGATTCCGGGGCCGTCCAAGAGGGGGGCGTCCAAGAGGGGGGGGCGCAAATCATGGCCAGCGGCATGTGTGCGGCCCTGGGGGGGGTGGCCGGG